TTACGGAAGAATTGACAACTACGGAAAAGTTTTATGTTTATCAAACACCGGCCAAATTCCCATTGTATCCTGTGATAATGATAAATGCGCATTGAACTACCATACAACATGCCTGAAGACTTGGTTTGCTACACTTCGTGATACGAAGGTGTTTCTGAATATGACATCAGGTCGATGTCCATCTTGCAAAGAGGTATGCGTGCAACGCAAATTCTATTCGATTCTTATTGAAATGAAACAACATGAATACATTTTATTCAATTCCAGAAATTATCAACGGCATTCAACGATTTGTTAGATGAATGAAAACCGGTGCTCTTCGTAAATCAGTCGCTTCATCTTTATTCATCCACATCATCGTCACAAAACATTTATTTTTATAAATAATTTCATTCATTTTTTGAATTTTTCGATACCCAAATTATATTACGGTGTATCGATTGAATATAATATAATCACGAATAAATCACAAATGTGATTTCGCTTTGAAAACATGATATTAATAAACAAAAACATGTATATTAGGTAAAATGGTTTGAGCTAGAATAAAAATCGTTTACTAAAATCTAAAAATCTAAGAGTTCTGAATATGATCCAAATGACGTGTGTGACATTAAGACAAACTTTGCCCGTATTGCAATCACCACGTGACCATTCATTTGTCATGTCTCTTTTTGATGTTTTCCTCCAAATAAAATTCTACTCAAATAGTACTATTTTCATGATAAATCTGGTTTCATGCCCATTCAATTAGCTCATCGGTGCTTGAATCATTCTCCAATGATCCCGTATCTGTTTGTAAATTGCTCACATTGTCGAAATAAATGCAGTTTCCCGATAAACCCAAAAAAGAGCGCGGCATCAAATTCCTTTGAAATCGTAGAGAAAATTTAAATTTGTTACTATATCCTTTTTGCAAGGCATTTTTTTTAACGAAAGTAGTTACTTCGAGAAATATTTCCATCCCAAATGTTTTGTGCAATATCCACAATACACATAACGATACATATAGCCCGGGAACCAACAGAATTCGCTTGTCAGATCGCCACTAACAGTGACCGCCTCCGGTAATGTACTCATAACAGTGTGTGTGTCATGAATGAATCCATCTGAAAATGCTTTCATTAGATTTGCTTCAGAGTCATTTCAATAGACGGATATACTTACATGCATTACAGAAATTTGTTCGAACTCCTTCCTTTGACATCGGGAACAAGCTGTTGAATTTTGCGATTTTTGTTCGACATTGCTTGCAAATGATGAATTTCTCCTCCTGTCAACGCATTCAAGTTTTGAGTAAATTTCAATACAATAATATTACATTTGTTCACATGCCAATAAAACTGACCTGTAGAGTTTGACAAATGAGTAAAATACGTTCCAAAACGTTATTTGTGAGAAAGGCCTTTCTTCGACATTCTGTACTTAAAATTGCATTCTGGCTGAACCAAAACGACATCGCAATCAAATCCATTGGAACAGTGTCTGAAATATCAAAAATTCCATTTAAAAAATAGATCCGTTTGGCTCCTTATTAAGACATAAAAATGTACCAATTTTGAGTGTAGCGAGAAACTTTTTAATTTTTTCACATGCAATTGACACATCATACATTCTGTAAACAAAATCCGGCCATGTAAGTGATTTGCTCTGGTACTGTAGTAGTTTACTTTTGATCAGTTCACTTTTACGAAATTTCGACAAACTGTTCGAATCGTGGCCGTATATTGGGTGACACAGTTCGACTTCGGGTAAAATTGTTACTGCTGCATATCTCGTTCGATTTCTTATGACAAATTCAGGTGTTTGTCTGTCAGCAAAGAATTCAATTTAAACACTTGAACATATGAGAGGAGAAACAAAAATTAAATCATACTCATTGTTTCTGATGAAAAATCGTTGGTATGCCCTTGATTTGATGGTTAAACTTTCACTGTCATCGGTGCTCTTTTCATAGATTAAGCATGTCACACCATACAAATTGAAATTGTGGTTTCCTCTAAGCTCACGAAACACCAAGCCAAACAAAATGCCATCCTCATTATTATCCGCCGGCACAAACATATTGGGAGCTAAAATCATGGGCAACGTTTCGCCTGGAAACACTAATGAATTGTGGAAGATAATTGGCAATGTGTATGTTCGATTTGGTTCCAAATATTCCACGCCGCTTACTCGTTCCAATGCACCCAAATACTGAAATTCAGTGGAAAATCACACTATTCAATAATTCTCGAAATAAAAATATTGAAAATATGCATACATTATGTTCAGCCGGTAAATCTGTGTCAAATGCGGCAATATCTACATCACCATCCATATTCGATGCCACATCCTCAGTGCTTGAGGCCAACATGGAAATACTCGAGCCTAAAAGTGAATGGATATAGTAAGTCGCAAATTCAAATGTGGGGTTCATGAACTATTTTTACCATCAGAATCACTTGACCAATCATCCATATTCAATATTCTCGATTTTAAATCAATGGAAGAATTGACAATTTGACGTTTTATATGATGTAGCTAAATTTGGTTTTGATCGTTCGCTAAAAAAGACAAAAATAAAAATCTCTTTGTGGAAAAAAATATTGAAGAATGTTGATGTTTTTGTTTCACTTTCTTATTTGGACAATGTGTCAGATGGATGTTTTGAAATGAACACTTGACACTTCAACAACAACGAAGTTGGACACATTCAAATTTGATAACATTAATAAATGTCATCGCTTTGTTTGAAAAACAAAACTATTAAAAAAGTGTTTACAAAATAGTTTGTAGTTTCAATTTCGCAATCAATTCCAAACAAATTCTTCTGAACACACTTCTCTTATCGATTGACAAGAATTTATGAACATGCACGTAACGTATATATGCAACAAATGACTTTGACTTGAACGGCCTGAAGTTGGTTCACACACTCATTTCTTGTGTAGTAAACAAAACAGTCCTTCAACAAAAGCCATGCAGAAGACGTTCACCAAAAAATCCAAAAATCACAAGCACAATGGTCAAAATACGATGGAAAATCAAACAAATACCTCTAGCAATATTGTAAGTAAATAATTTCTCTTAAAGTGATGACAATTATTCACGTTCTTCGTTTGTTTGCAGCAAAAAATTCCTAGACAAATGTCAGTATGTGAAAACTTGTTTACGGTCGCTCACATATAATCATCATATGAGCCAGGATTATGCATCGGACGTAGCGCTCGAACCAATTATATGGATTGTAGATAATTTTGCTGGATTTCTAGGACCGGTGAGAAATTCTTTCCATTGCACAATGAAATAAGTGATGACATGAATGTATTCTAATTTTAGTTTTTCGTTGTTGCGGTTGCAGTTTTAACATCGACTGTTGTGGTTTTTGCACATTTAGTTGGTTTGCCGTATTGGTGGGAAAAAAGTCCAGCCATGACAATATTTCTAATTACTTTCGGCTATTGGTTGCTAATGAACGTAACATTCCATTATATTATGGCTGTGTTTACACCACCCGGTGGTCCGCCCGATGTAAGTAGCAGTGAAGGACTTACTTTTTTCGATGTTTAAAACACTTTTTATTATACAAATTGATTTGCTTTGCTTTTTATAGAAAGAACTCTACGACGCAGTTAGTATATGTAAAAAATGCTTAACGCCAAAACCTGCTCGAACACATCACTGTTCAATTTGCAACAAATGTATATTGAAGGTACACACTGACATTTATTCGAATCCTTTGTTTATATCATTTGGCATTTTCTCTCTTCCCTCTAACTGTGGCCAGATGGATCATCACTGCCCCTGGTTAAACAATTGCGTCGGTTTCGCGAATCATCGATATTTCTTCATGTATATGCTGTACACTGTCATTGGGTCCATGTTTCTTATTGTTTTTGGCATTGAAATTGCTTACAATGTTTTGTGGTTGGCCGACGATGGCGAATGGACAGAAACGGAACCGCTCGAAGGTCATCCAATCACTTATAATCTTACTGGACACATTGTTCCAATTGTAAGTCCAATTCAATTAATTTAAACTTGGGTGGAAATGATCAATTTGAATTTGTTTTATTGGCAACAGAGTGAAATGAATGAGTACCGTGACAATACCATCGAACCAACTGATGGAACGATTGTACAAAGTGAAGCAGAACTTTATCGTGTGTTCATACGTCGTTCACTTACATTTATGGCATTTATCAATGTTGGTTCGTATGATTTTCACTTTCAAACGTTATTGATAGAAAATGTCAAACAAGATGTGTTTTCGTTTTCAGCTGTTGTGATTGCATTAGGATTATTAACAATGTGGCATGCCAAGCTTATTTATCACGGTGAAACGAGTATAGAAGCGCACATAAATGCTAAAGAAACAAAAAGATTAGCGGCAAGAGGAAGAACTTATCGAAATCCATATGACTTTGGACCAAAGAAAAACTTTCAGATTTTTTTGGGCTTAGTTAATGGCAGGTATGCATCAATAATAGTTTACATCATTTCACCTTCAATCATTTTAAGCTTCACTTATTATTCATTTATAGATCGTTCTGGAGACACTTTCTGTTCCCATCGACACACAAACCCGAAGAAGACGGAACAGTTTTCGAGACAATTAACAGTGTGCCAACATCAAACAATTGGCCGTAGCAGTGGATTCCACTTTTTTTGATTTTCCAAAATTTAACTTATTTAAATAAAAAAAAAACACAATTAGCTAATGTTTCAACGAAAGTGCTAATATTTCAATATTTATTGCAATGCATGTTTTATGTTTTAAACAATCTATTATTGATAACACTTCAATATTTTTCGAAATAAACCAAAAAGCTACACTATTAAAACTACAAAGGCAATTTCTCACGAAAACTTCTGGATTAACTAAAAAGCAAATTGATATAATTCAAATTCAAGGATAAAATAAACCATTATGGACGGATCGAATATTTATTTTTCCAATTCACGTTCTCCGTTTGGCTCCTTTGAGTCATCTTTGGCTTCTTTGCTTGATTCTCCACTTTCTTCTTTGATTACTTTTTTGCTATCACTATCTTTGTTATTTTTATCACTTGATTGACCAGGATTCGATTTTTCGGACAAATTTTCAACATTTTTGGAGAGTTTTTTCACTAAATCAGTTAGGCTGGAAACTTCTACCGAACAAATGCACAAAATATATAACAAAAAATGTCATTTTCTGTTAAAATTTACTTACGATTTTCAAGTTTTGGAATTTGGTTGATGTCATGTTCCTCCTCTGAAATACAATACAAGGATAAGTTTTATTTTTTAAGCCATGTCACTTTGCTAACCTTCAAGCTCTTCTTCTTCTTCCTTTTCTCTTTCAATTTCTTCATCGTTGAGTGGCTTCAATTTTTTCGACAATTGTTTTTGCACGACCAACACCGTTTGGGTCAAATTTTTGAGAGCTGAAATTTCATTTTTTTTTTTTTTTAATATTTTCATTTTATCTTGAATAAAAAATGAATTGGAAAACGTCTTAAAACTACTCACACCAAACGATGTTAGGAATTTGCTCCAATTTGGCTTCGGTACTATAGATGACGGATGTTAAATTCTTCACCGTGAGCACCAATTTCTCTGAAAAATTTGAAACAGTATAATTGAACGGAAAAATTTGGTTCGAATCCCGAAAGATATTACCATTATTATCTTCAATAGATTCTTCTGATTCATCCGACTCGGAGTCATCGCCAAAGAAAGTGTCGTAAATACACTCCAAATCATATCCATCCTAATTTTAAAAAAAACTATTAATTGAATATAATTATTATTAAATAATACACTTACGGAACAGCCACTGAAAGCCACACCAGAAAAACTTAAAATCACCAACAATGTTAAGAATAAAGGCTTCATTTTGCTTGAAATTAAATGTTTTTTTTTTTCAATCGGAATGAAATTCACGTCAATTTTGAAATATCCAAGCTCTGATGAATGATTGCAAAGACTCTCGTTCTTATCGCCTATCACTCCTATTTATACTTGACGAAAAAAAATAATTATGTAAATTCGCTCTACAATTGCTATCTTGACCATCAGTTTTTATTGAGACGAACAATGCCGATTTGAGGTGAAAAATGAGCAAATGACATTCAAAGCCACATTTGATTTGAAGAATCCTAATGCGCGAGCACGTTTTGACAACGAGAATTGAATTACATTGAGTAGTACGAAGGTTTCGAAGGCAATTACTTTGAAATACATAGAATGTTTGACAAAATGCATATTTTTTATGGATAAATCACCTTTGTTGGCTCGTTTTTTCAATTAACATTGAGCTAAAAAAAAAAGGTTCTTACTAAAGAAGAGTTACGATTTCAATACACAAATATAACTCATCGACGGAAATTGTTTGTAGATCTCTTTTTAGTCACTTGTTCGGCTCGATTAATTATTTTGATTTCGACCTTCTTTTTAGCATTATTTTTTTTGTTTTATACAATATGCATAGTAGACGCAGTTGTTTGAAAAAGCGACCGCAAAAAAATATTGCATACAAAACCCACCCTCAATTCCTGCTTGAAAAGAAGTATGTACTGTACGTCCCATTTGGCAATGATGTTTATATCGTCCCTTCGACTTTGGTTGCATGTTGAACGATTGAGCAATGACAATGCTGCAGTAAATCCGCTATACACAAAACGCATTCAAAAGTTGAATCAACTTGTTCTCGTGTTCTCATTCTTTTGTTTATCTCTTTTGTTGTGAGAGAGTTGACAAAATTACTTTTTTTAGCGCTTTCTTATGGTAGAATGCTGCGCAAATTAGAACATATTCCAAATACAAAAGATGTACCTCAAACAAAAAAGCATTATGATTACGCCGCATGTACATCCCGCAGTTTCATTGCAAATTAGATGAGAGAGCGCAGCGCCGAAGAGTATGTTTTGTACTTCTTGTTCAAGATTTTAATGTAAAACCACTTCATTCGCGGAGAGATAAAGTGGCGCAGTGTTATACAAAATACGAAACTATTGTCAGTGGAATGAAACTGAAATGGAATCAAAACTTGCAAAGTCTTTTGTTCGGATTGTGATAATCAATAGTGTTTCTTATTTCACGCATTAAACATTATCTTGCAACACTAATAAACAGATTTCCAAATAAACTGTAGCAAATCAGCTGATTTTTATTTTCAGCAAAAAACATTGTGCTACATTGTGAACGTGTCTTATTAGCAAAATCGAAAGACAGAATCAATCTTTTCGAAGGGCAATCGCTCCGTCGCGCTCACATATTCTTTGATAAAAGATCGTTATTAACTTGTTATATATAGATTTTGCACAATTACCATGTTTCGCTGTGATAATAACAAATTTTACGAGACGCGCAATGCGATGGGAATATTTGAGCTGTATTTTTACAACAATTTAGCGGTATGCAAAAGGTGTCGAATTATTATGTATGCAAAGTTATTATTACCAATAAAGGCACTGACGATGTGTGTTGCGTGCATATATTTTAGTGCGAAAACAAGGCGTGTAATTGACTACAGGCGAATGCAATCGTTCAAACGATTACATTGTTCCATATTTCACAAAAATAAGATCGAATTATATGGGGCCACTTTATGAATCAGTCACACGCATACACACACAAACACATTCATATTCGCAAATTGAGTGTGATTACACGCACGAGCATTCATGCCAAGTAGAATCCAGTTTTGATCTCAGTATGACCGTCCGAGAAAGGAGGTACGATTAGCAAACAATAATTCTTCAACGTGAAATTTTCATACATTCGTTGCGCTTCGTTTGGTTACTTGATTGATTTCTCTCTTTCTCTTCTCGTTGCATGCCGTCTTTTTACTTCGATTCAAAATGTACACTTATTATCTCACGGAATTTATGAGCAAGTCTTTGTGACTTTGAAATCGTATTAGAACCGACCAACATTTACTCGGAAATCGATTGAGACGTTTCGTTTATGTTGGATTCCTTGAACTAAGTTCTGAATGAACGTAGTAGATATAAATCACACAATACGCGACGTAAACAAAATCGCACCCAAAATCAATTTCAAAGACCTTTGCGAAAATTGAATATTTTAAATAAAATTGAAGAAAATTCTGTCATTTTCCTCCTGCTAATTTATGTACCCTCGTGATTGCCAAGCAAAAAGTCAACTTAACAATATAATGAGTTATGCGGTTGGTTGTGTGCTGATAAAAAAGTGTCATCGAAATGGACGGTAAAAAATTGAGCAAACGCAAGCAAAGTGTGAACCAACATTGTCACCGATTATGTGGTCGCAATTAGGGAAGTACTACAATATTCACATTGTTTCCGCTAATATTTAATACATTTGCCACTTTGTGACAGGATGCAAGTACTCGAGACATAATTAAACTTTGACAACCAAAAACCATCATTGTTAATTCATTATAGTCGCCTTGCAACCGAAAAAATATATTAAAAATGCATGAACTTGGTAACTTTTGTTGATGCGCGATACATATTTTGTTGGAAAGTCATTAAAATCGCATCCGTTGACTGAAACGAAACAAATACTCACCGACTGACTAAGAATCAATTCCTCATCCACCAAATAAATTTCAAAGATGTACAACATTTTACACTGGCTCTCAATTTTTAGTGATAAAAAAGTCGCATAATTTATACAAAATAATCTATCTCTCGCTCTTCTTTTCTTGTACAGCAGTAAAAAATGCTTGAATTTATGGCCGTTCTAATGCAACGACTGGAGGGTAAGTTATGGCGTACATCGACATCAGACGACATGATATTCATACTTAAGGCCGAGTGCCGAAGTAACTTATTAGCAGCTGTGGTCCAGAAACCAGATGTGTTTATCTCTTTAATGACACTAAAAATGATGCGGCCACAAATGCTAACGCTAAAAGTATATTTCTAGATGAAAAAAAAATTATGTTTTCTTTGGATGTCGTAAGAAGGAAAAGTATTGAAATCTAGAGATAGATGTATATCTTGACGATTTTCAATTCGAAATCATGTTCGACCGTTTTCTTTTTATTTAAAGACGATTTAAAATTAACAAACTGAAGTTTTAAGAAATCTAGAATTTAATCCGATTCTGGTAAATCTCCATCTGAAAAACTCTGATCGCCATCAACTTTAGTGCCTTTATCGGCATTTTCTTTGTGTTTAAATTTTCTTGGGCAAAACTTTTCTTTCGCCTTTCTGACGGCGTTCAAATATTCTTCTTCGGCCTGTTTACATGCTGCATCAATTGCACTGCTCTTATTCATTTTTGATTCGCCGTTATCGTCGTGGGCAACCTGTGCAGTTTTCACTCTCAATTTGATTTCTCTGGATTTCGCCTCCAAAATCTTTTCTCTTCTGTTCTCGCGTTCAAACATATTCGTTAGCAGCTGCTTATCATTCTTTTGGCTTACTGTCATGTTATCGGACACTTCGATTAGAAATGTTGCACCGTTTTTACTTCCACTTGAATAAAAACAAAGATCGGTTACATTGTGAAACTGTTTTAAAGTTATTAGTTAATAGAAATGCTTCATACCTGGCTATAAATCGGCCATTTTCAAAGGCTTTCATGCATAGCAACGGCTCATCACATACTTTGATGCTTAAAACGGGTTCGTTGTGCTGTTGCAATAAGTCCCAAGCATCAAGAATGCCATCCATTCGACTGATATAAAACATTGAACACCTGAATAGGGAACATTTCTCATTAAAATGTTGAGTGGAGATTGAACATTAGCTTACTTTGTTGGGCTCCAAATGCCATTAGTTAATAGGGCTGGTTGATATGATGTCCACATTATTGAACTTTCACGACAATCCTCCGACCAAATTCGTGCTGTCCAATCGCCAACGGTTAAGAAATTTTTGAGAAAACTTGGATTTCGTGCAATTGAACACACTGGACCCAAATGAGTATTTATCTAAAAAAAAAAAGTACAATAATACCATTGTAAATAAAGTAATGTTAACAAAGTTGACAATAAACGAACCCGAAAATTGATTTTTTCCATCGGTGATTTTCCTTTGCGATTACATACAAAAACCATTCCAACGTCAGTGCCGCACATAAATTTCGTGGGCATTGTAGTCTCATATTCTAAAACGGTTACACCATATGACCGTGATGCTACCTGTTCATCAGTTTTGATCGGATCCATTAGTAGTTTTTCCAATGGTTCATTTAATTTTCTCGTATCCCACCTTCGATTTTTAAACAGGAAACAATTAATAGAAAGAAATGTTTTCTTTTTCTATTTTTTCTCAATTCCTTAAACAAAAATTTTAAGTTCATTACCAAATAACGCGTCCGTCAAACGATCCGGAGAAAAATTCGGTTCCCGTTTTGGAATTTATCCACAAAACCGAGTTGACAGCCTCGTGATGGCACACTTCTCGTTCGCTAATTGCAACCAAACTCTTGTCGGCCCTTGTATCCCAAACACCTACTTGCCCCGAAAGAAATCCACTCGCCAAAGTCGTCGCATCTTTTGGATTATATTCCAAGCAAATAATTGGGCTTGGCGGTTTCAAATTCAAAAGTGGTGTGTTTGGATTTTCTATAAAGAAAAAAAAATTAAATCAGTTAAACCACTGAATAGAATGTGTACACTTTCATTAACTAACCAACTTCCCAAATAAATGAATCGCAAGCGTTGTCATTTGCGTCCGTTTGAAATGTGGTGTCAGCGTGTGCGATGGCAAGTTTTGTGCCGCCATCGGGCGACCATGATAAATGTGTGACGGGTCGTTTCGGATTGCATGGATCGCGATAAACATTGAGCGTTCGCGATGAGCATGGCTCAAGCAATGGTGCCTGTTCACAATTCTCGAAAAATGTTTCATAAATATTGATGGCATTGTTTTGAAAAATGCAATGTTCCATTGGTTTTGTCAGATTCATCACTTGACTAATAAACAATTCATCTTTTTCAATTTTTCGTCGATAGCGTGTTGTTTGCTCGGGATCGGAAAGGCAAATATCTTTTGGCCAACCCCCTTCTGTGTGATTAATTCCATGACTTTCATATGTGGCTCGTTCTGTGTTCACTTCACTACAACTCATTTGTTTGGCAAATTGAGTGCCGCGCGAAACTGGGTCACGCAATTTATACTGTTTGGCAATCTCTTCATCGGGCGGAATTGACACCATAATTTCATCTTTTTCGGTGAAAGCAAATAACTGTTGACCGAATTCACGACGCTGTTTATAGTAAACATATTGGCTATCGGGAGTGCTTGACATTTTTTATGGTTTTTTATTCAAAAGAATTTGAAAAATGGTTTGCGTTATACGCGTACGGCTTTTCGATACAAACTATACACTCTATTGAATAAACACAAAGAGCCATCTCTATGGTGATGAAGATGTATGTGCTATGCGCGTCAAATATGGACAAAAATCAATTTTATTTTCGAATAAACGCAACAACATTGTCATTTGAAATGGAATTCGTTAGTTGGCTCAATTTAATGACGGCACATTCGTTTTATTTTTCATTTTTTTATCTATGTTTAAACAAGACTTTCTTTTTTTCGCATTTTTTCATTCTTTTAAGCCGCTGTCAATGAACTACGCTCAATGCTCAACGTAGCTAAGGATTATTTTTAGTGATTTTTTACAGCAATAATTTTTTTTTGGTTGTTCTTCAAATAGAATTTGAAGATTATGCCATTTCCTTTGGGAGGTCTGCTTGTCCACACAAAAAAAAACCGTCAACGTATCAAGAAGGTAATGCAAAGCATCATATGTTAGGCATCATGAGAAAATCTTTTGAAAATGTTTGTTGTCAGGAGCGAAGACAATTTTTCAAGTGCTTTTGACACATTTTCTCATCGTTTTGCATGTAATTCAGAGAGGAAATATTCGAAATTAGTTTAAAAGGAACACGAAAAGAGAATGGAATTTTAAAAATGCGCGTTTTGGTTCAGGCAGAGGGTGTGCGAGTCAACGATGTTTATGTTAAGTCAATGCAGCTTGTGTGAATAGCCAGCAATTGACTTAACTCAAAATAAACAAATATCGATGTTTTTCACGTGTTTGAAGGGAGATTTGTGGTTTTGTGCCTGTCATATTTCATGATTTACAGTGTTGTCGTTCGGTTGACATGTTTGTTGTTTTAAAGCGTAACGCGTGAGAATTTTGTGTCAAATGGAATAAAAATAAACACCACACATAGATTATAGAGACTTTGTGACGACATTGCTGGTGTCACATTGCTTATGTAATCTATAGAAGAGAATTTCTTCTAAATCCACGCATGCCTAGAAACCAAATAGACCAAAAGCAACTATTTTTGCTTTAAAGCAGAAAATTATATGGACATTTATTGATTTAAATTCCAATCTAAAATTCGGAAGTTCATACGCGTACATTGTAGAATGTAGGTGTGCGCAGAAATAAATGAGTGAGAGAGAAGATATTGAATCCCAAAATGTATGCAAAAAGTTCACGTGTTGCTCAATACCATGTTTGACTAGTAGGTTTTTAAACGATCTTGTATTATATCACGGGCTGCTCGCGCCCCATTTAATCAATGTAATAGGTTTGGCCAATTGCTATTTCATCCAAAAATATTAATTAATTTAACAATTTTCTTACTTTTATTTCAATGTGAGTGAACAAATACTAACTCTTCTTTATTATGAACAAATTCAGTTAAACTAACTACATACTCTAATTTTGCATGATAAAAAACGATATTTATGTAAAATTGAAATCAGAATATTTTATTGTCAATTTATACTCTAGATAATTTTTCTATAAATTAGCATCCACCGTGATGTTTTGGAGTTAATCTGCACAATTTTCAGTGATCCAATCCTCGAATTCTGAGACACGAGTATAAACATCGGGCCGTCCCATCGCGCAAATTGCTGTGCCATATGACACTACACCGACCACCTCTTCTCCATCCCCAATAGTTAACGGTCCGCCAGAATCTCCCTAATCAATACGAATTGATTACACAAGAGATATTTTTGAATATATGAATTACTTCTTGTACTTACGCCACAAGCTCCTTGTAGAAAATGTGAATATGTGCAAATTTCCGTATTGGTAACGTTCATTCCATCTTCTCGACACTGCGCAAATAAATTTGAATGATATAAATATAGACGGTCTGTCAAATATAGAATTTCCTTACTTGATCATTGGTGATTGTCGGTAAAAATGCACGTTGTAAGTCATTCGGTGGAAAACCAACGCGGAATGGATTTGTATATCCTACAGAGTAGAGAATACAATTAAAGTCAGGTTTTTTTTTTTTTGCTTGATAATGAAACATACCCCAACCGGTGAGCGTGCAATTGACGTTGGCTTCGTCTATCTTTTGACTTGAATATTTGATTGGTGCAATTTTCTCTCCAAATGCAAAAGTTCCATTTATTTTCATTATAGCAATGTCACTAAAATTTAGAAAACAAGTATAACCACGGTTTGATTTGCATTCTTAAACTATTTGAAATTGACGATTTTTTCAACACTCACCTCGTAACTAATTCTTTATAGTTTGGATGCACTTTAATATCTCGTATAAAATATCTTTCTCCACCGCCACCTCTTAATTTGTTTGTTCCAGCCAAAATGGACAAATCTTGAGGCTTGTAGTCAACGACACAATGGGCTGCCGTTAAGACACAGTTATCTTTTATAATGGAACCGCCACAATTATGCGTAAATTCATTTCGACCGGTTGGGAAAAATGCAATGTAAACTGGCACTTTAACTTGCAATGAAATTTGATATGGGTATGGACGCGGCGCTGTTTCACCACCGACGATTCTGCCATCTTTTTCTAATGGAAAAAAAATTGATAACAAAATATGAAAAAATTTCCAAAAATTGAGTAGAATTTTTTCGACTGTTTCTCAAAATCTCACCAACTGAATCAGAATTGGCATAAGTCCAAGCCAACAGAAGCGAAATCAATAAACAAACAAATTGCATCATTGCGTTTCGTGTACGACTAATATTCTGGCAGAATGCTTGATTATTTCGATTTAGTTCGTATCGGTGTCAAACTGATTCTGTGCGAAGAAAATTACAGGTTTGCAAAATATTCTAGTTTCAAATGTTTACACTTTGTTGAGTTAATTGCTCAATTTTTCCGAATTGATGTTATGCCTGACTATATATAGGCCAGTAATGTGCGAAGGGGGAGGGTAGGGGGGGGGTTTACCCCCCCCTGTGATTTGGATGAGAAACATTTTTTCGCGAAAATTATTCGAATTTGCTAGGGTTTTTCACGAAAAAAGTGAAGACCTTTTTTTTTTTTTTTTTTT